GCATCCTATACTACTTTTTTTCAATTAGAATGGAATTGTAATATTATTTTTATAATACATGAAAATACTGCCACCATAACAAAAATGTCACCATGTCTTTGTTTCTAAATTCAGCATTACTTGAACTAACTTAGATTTTTTGCTGCCTTTGATGCCAACAATTTCAAATAAGATCTCCTGTGATGAAAGAGGACAGAGATTTGGTCAATTTGTTCTAATTTCTTATATTTGGAAGATGACTTGGCTCTTAAAGTTTGTGTTGGAGCATGTGTTGTGGGTGACTCTCAGGTACTCCCACATCCAATTTTTGCTCAGTCTCTGTAAAATTGCTCTGGTGTAATATATTGTGTTTGCTGAATTAGCTTTGTTGGCCATCTTGAATTAGGTTATCTCAGTCATAGTTAATAGCTCTTGTGCAGRTTTGGCTGAGTGGTTATTGAACTGGGGGTTCGATTTCACTGCAATTCATTCACATGTCACAGGCGAAGTGTCCTTGGGCAAGACATTGAAGCCCCACTGCCTTCAGTGTGGGTCCCATCAGTGTATGAATGTGATTTAAAGCACTAATTAGTCTCTTAAACATAAGATTAGATGGTATTTACAGAAATGTCAGAATCTTGGTTGAAAGCTGTTAAAAACACGTCTATGAACACCCAAGACAGTTACAACTACAAGCAGGTGAAGATAAAACTCACATACATAGAAATAAAATTAGTTTAAAAAGCATTTGGCAAGTGAGATAAAGTTAGTGTTAAATAATCAATCAATGAACTTTATTTGTACCCGCAGGTAAATTCGATTACAGTGACAATGAGTCAGCTTCGTTCCAAGAAAAACACTAGACGTATGACGTGGACATACAGAGGACACAACGTGATTAAAAAGTGACCAGGTGCTCATAAAACTCAACTATATAAGAATCAAAGATAAAAACAAGAGAAAATCGAATAAAACTATATAAAACAAAGAAGAAAAAAAAGACTAATTGATATTATGTTATACTATGTTAACTTGAGTTTACAAAGCTAATTGCAACAGAGACAACGCTGATTTTTAAACACTTAGTTTTACATTTACAACATTTACATACAAATAGGAGGCATAATGTGTTATTTTTGTTTCTGATATTCTTTACATATCACTACTTTATTAGGGCTCTGTATGTTTTATTCACGATTAAATACTGAAAAATGAACTAATTCAGAGAAAGCAGATCTTTGTACTACTTGGTTTATTTACATAATGACTTAAATAGCTGGATGTTCGGCCCCTGAACTATTGGCCTGCTGTAACTGTGGCCCCTGGAGCAGTTTAGTTGGTCTGCCCAAAATTAGGTTGATTGACAACAGATCAGTAAAAGATCTGGATATAAAAATAGCCAAACATCTTTTTTGTAAAGTACACGGATAAAAATTCATATTGTTAATGTTAATCATTACTAAAAAATAGTTTTGTTTTGTATAATGTTTTACTTTTTAAAAATTAACTTAAAAAACTGTATGCACTAAACTTGATGTCCATAAAGTGCTATGACATGTCTAATATGCCAGGACATACTGTAAAAAAAATAGCAAATGTTCCAGGAAGTGGCAGCAGCCCAGGTCTACAATCAGTCAGAGACAATGCAATTCTACTTTTTTATTGCTTGCTATTTGTGCCTGTGGTGGCTTATATTGAGTTCAAGTTACTAAAGTTTGTCTACAGAGCAGACTGTAGGAGAATACCCTTATACCTGAGCAAAGTTTTATAGGCCTTTTCTGTCATTATTATATGCCAATAAACAACTAGTCTAACTTCTCTCCGTGGCAGGGAAACTCAGTGCAAGCTATTTTCTTGTCTATCGTCGTGTTAGAGTGATGTACCTGGTGGGATTTATTCAGCACAATTCTTTGAAAAGCAAAGAAGATCTTTTTCTTGTAACAGGGTAAAAGAAAAAAAGATCTTCAAATATGTTTCTATTTATTTATTGTTTTGCTCAGATGTTGAACATCTACACTGGGCCCAGATGCTGAAAGATGCACATATGGCAATTGATGCTGATCTGCAGTGGGAATGTAAAGCCATTGGTAGGCCTCAACCTACCTATCGATGGTTAAAGAATGGTCAGACACTATCAACAAAGGTAGGAAACAGGACATTTTCTTCTCAAATAAAGGGTGCGGGGGGGGAAAGGGCACCACTAAAATCTTCCTATTTGTTATTTGCAGGGGAAAGTTCACGTTGAAGCTGGTAGACTGACCATATCCAAGATCAGTTTATCAGACTCAGGGATGTATCAGTGTGTGGCAGAAAATGAATATGGATCCATATATGCCAGCGCTGAGCTCAAGGTTGTAGGTAGGTGGTTTTGTCTTTATCTAAATCTAAAGCACAACCTTCGACACATCGTCTGTGCATTCTGTTACCAGAGCACTGACAGCCTCCTCCATAAAAGTGAATAAACTCAGTCTATCAACTGCTCTTAGAGTTGTGTCCTTTCCTTTTCATTTCTATAATCACTTCAAACAACAACATGCCTGTCAGGTAGTAAATTATGATTTCTGTAATTGCTGGTAATGCACTTGACATTTTGGCTTATGCACTGCTGTTGGTCTTATGCACTGCTGTTGGTCTTATGCACTGCTGTTGCCGCTCCACAAACTGAGACAAATGGCCTCAACAAAGGTCTCTTTTTCTTCCAGCTTTGCCGCCTGACTTTACCCAGCGGCCTGTGAAAAAATCCACCGTGATCCAAAGAGGGGGAGAGATGGTGTTAGAGTGCCGACCCAACGCTTCACCCAGGGCTACGATATCCTGGTGGCGAGGGGGGAAACTCCTGAAAGACAGCGAGAGGTAAGGGTTATTGTAAACATTGCTGCACAGCAAATTCACAGGGTATGTTGCCTAAATTCATTTTGACAAATAATCTACTACACAAAGCCCTTTTTATACAATCATCTACAGGAATTCACTGTTTGTACTTGTAGATGTCCGCTTTGTAAGCATACACAAATTAGGAAATCAGGTAGGGTTGAATAATTATAATAAATGGATGGGGTAAATGGTAAATACAATAGTTGGATATGTTTGCGTACCAAAAAATAAAGTAACTACTCTGCTTAAATCATTAAATGTGATGAGAAAAGATGGAAGCTAAGTATTGAAATAAACAAAAAAAGTAGTTTTGTAATACTAAAAATCCCTTTGTTATCTACCCTAAACTAATCAGAAAGTTATGTAAACTGCTATTAAAATAGGTAGGGGTGCATGTTTCTTTGTGAATGTGAACTTTTTTCAGTTTTATTATTCATCAGCAGACATGCAATATAAAGCACAGGTTTCTAGTTAAAATACTTACATTACAAAAATCCATTTCATTACCTGACAGAAGAACTTTTGGGTGAGAGTCTTGCTTTTTTTTTCTCCCAATTTTCAACTTCAAAGGCCTACAGCACCTAAAAGTAGATGAAGGGTTTCATTGAAGTGAACAAAAACACTGCTGACATTTTTTCTATAAATAAAATGTTTTCCTGGTACTTGGCAGTTTCAAAATTGTAGATTTAACATTAAGCATTAACAGCAAAATTAAAATGTTTAAATATATTCATTTGTTGTGTATGCCGGTTCAAAAATTCCAACATGTTTACACCCCGGTACATTTTATATACAGTATTGTTTTAAAACTAAAGAGATTTTGAACACATTTTTCAATCAAAAACACAATATAATTCTACAGTGTACCATCATTGTGTTGTGTTGGTCACACCCCTGGGGGTGGAACCTTTTATATCAACATTAGATTGTAAACAATTCTACAGGGTGGGCCATTTATATGGACACACCTAAGTAAAATGGGAATGCTTGGTGATATTAATTTCCTGTTTGTGACACATTAGTATTTGGGAGGGGCGAAACTTTCCAAGATGGGTGGTGACCATGGCGGCCATTTTGAAGTTAGCCGTTTTGGATCCAGCTTTAGTTGTTTCAATGGGAAGAGGGTCATGTGATACATCAAACGAGAATTTCACAAGAAAAACAATGGTATACTTGCCTTTATTACAGATAAAATACAGCCAAAGTTTCAAAAGCTGTTACTGGAAGGGCTTGAAATACCACAATAAATTATGTTTTCTAGCCCTAATCCCTCAGAATTATTCAAATCTGTCCTAAGAAGATTAAAAATAACTTTAGAAATTGCAAATAATCAAATATATTGTATTGGACTCTGGACATATGTCTGGTCCAGATGCTGAGTCCAGAATATTTTGAAAAGTTGTAAAACTACAGCCATAAGTCAAAAATCTAAGTTGGTGCATGTATTCAACAATAACTTAGTAATTACATGTTGTACACACTTGAATAATAACACACACAAATAAACAATTAATTAAGGATTTTACTTACCGTACTTTAGTGTTGAGATATTCACTTTAGTAAAAGAGGGAGGTGTGCATCAAGGAAAGTTCACAAGTTGAATGACTTCAAGGCCTGATAATCAGACCTATTTACACATTTACAATCCAATGACAATACAAGGCTAAAAAATAAGACCTAATCACTATGTAAATATGGTCTTACAAGAAAAAAACATTTGCAGGTTTGTTTTTGGATACAGCTAAAATGTTATTTTGTAACAGTGGGCCTTACAGGGTAAAGTAGACTTGTTGATCGTCTTACTGATTAAAATAAATGACTMTAATCAATCACAAAAAAAGAATACGACTATATCTAAAATCCTGTTAATCTGTCACAAAATTACCTTCAACAGGGTTCACTTAATGAGTGTTCTCTGTGTCCTCATTTAAAGGGGAGTTTTTTGTTACAGTGCTAAAGATAGAGCATTTCTCTTGTATTTGTTAATATGACTTGGAGTTAAAATGACTTGGATCTGTTTCTGTTCTATTTATTTCACATCTTTGTAAAGAATTTTTGAAGCAGTTTCACTGAACATTATTTTTAATGTTCTTTGACTAAAGTGGTTCTTTGGAAGTGGTTTGGTTTATTTTTGTAAAGATTTTAAGACTTCTTAATTGCTTTAGGGTCTTTCTTATATTTTGTAGTTGTACCATATGTCTCACATTTCATTAATCCAGTCTGTTGGTTTTGCTGGTGAAATTGACAATTGCATAAAAAATAAGAAGTTTTTGTTCTTTTGCATTTGCTCAAGAAAATTATAATAATTTTCTTAGTTAATTGTGATAAACACTCTTGTTTTGAAGTAGTTGTTCACTTTATCGTGTTAACAATTTCAATTGTTTTAATTCAAAGCAAGACAGAAAATAGCTGTAAGGTGCTAAAAAGGAGAATTTAAGAAGCGAGTCATCAATTTGCCCAAAATGTGGCTTAATTTTTCTATTTAGCACAGTAATTGGACTGTTTTGTGCATTTGAGTTGCACATTAATTATTGTAGAAGTCTGTGTGAAATCTATTTCTCATTTTGATCAATATGTTCAGCCATGCTCCCACTGATTGTCTATAACTCACCAGAACTGTCTCAACATGTGACCAATCAGATAGATTATTTATCATCTTTTTCACTGGTTTGTCCCGAGAAAAGATTACCGAGTCGTTACAGGGGCAGCACACTTTGACACAAATAGAAATCCCCAGCCTGGAACAGAATTTGTCTACAAAGCAGATATTTCTGTGCATTTCTATTTGTTTTTCACCTCATTGCCCCCGAGGTCATGTTCGCACCGTGCCTCCCATCACTCAGCGTTTGATATTTTTGTCAATAAATCAGTGCAAAGCACCGTGTGTCAGACTTTTATGGGTCTTAAGCTTGGCTCAAGTGAATACATATTTTTTCTTAGAAACAGAGGTGAAATTGTTTGATTTTTTGAGTCAGCTGCTCAAAGTATTTCTGTTTGATTTACTGAGTCCAAAGGTCACAACACCAGAGTATAATCAGCCTCATTTATGCATATGTTTACATGCTTTGTTTCTGTTTGTTGGGGACCAGTGTGCCAACCCAAGTGGTCCATGGTGTAAAGCATTGTAAATGAAGGTGGAATAGTCACTTTGAATCTTAGGTTTCAAACTCCCTTTAGTTTGTTTTAAAATAAAACAGGGTTTTATTGTGTTTATTTTGTAAATCAGACCAGATAAAACCCAGGACTATAAAATCTGAAATACAATCATCTGAGGAGTCCCTTGTCCTATGACAAGAACAGCTCTGTAGGCACAGGCTGTGGAATAGCTAACCCTCTATAAAATGTTCTACCTCACAATAAAACAAAACAAAAACTACTGCTGTTTCAGATGTGCTTTGACCAAAAGACCAAAAGTCTGTATAATTTAACACCAGCATGCAAGAATGTTGAGAAACAGATTTGACCTGRGCAAGTTTGTTAAATGAGCCATCCTGATGACTGGCGTTAATAGAACAATCAAACACTGATGCATCTTTACAACCACAGAGCTTGATTAAACATTTTGTTAATCATCCCCTGATATCTTGTTCATTAAGGTGCATGAAAGCATCATTATTTCAGTAATCAACAATGTGTCATATTTTAAAATAATATAACAGTTTTATATATAAACCTAACCCTTAAAGTAAAATCAAATGAACCTTATGTGTGGAAAGCATACATTAAAACCTCTTAAATTAACATGATACAGACATTATGTCAAGTACCTGATTTGCAGTTTTTTGTGTGAGTCTGAAACTGTTTCAATAAATCTGCCATCACATCTGAAATGCAAGGTGGATGTTTTTTTATCACAATCATTTACAAACTAAACTAGATGTTTTCATTCTTTTTCCTAACAAACCTAAACCATGTTAGCATTTTTTATTTCACTTATAAACATTTAAAAGTAAAATGGATTACCTTGTGATGGACTCACTACTGTCCAGGAGGTACCACACCTTTCACACAGTTACTAGAACTAGCTCCCACACATGTTGCCTAACGCTCAGAATACAGCTCTGGAAAACATTGAGACCATTTTAAAATTGTCATTTTGTATGATTTTACTTTTTATAGGTATATATTTGAGTAAAATGAATATTATTTTATTCTATGAACATTGTGTCTCTGAAATTCCAAGCAAAAATTTAGTATTTCTTTGCAGAAAATGAGAAATGGTCCAAATGACCACAAAGATGCAGAGCTTTCAGACCTCAAATAATGCACAGAAAACAAGTTCATGTTCATTTAGAAACAATGCTAACGTTTCAACTCAGGAAGCATTCAGAAATCAATATTTGGTGGAACGCTTTCAACCAAATACAGGGAAACTGTGCAGTAGTCTCTTAATTTTTTTCCAGAGCTGAATATGTTGGCAATGATGCCAACCCACTACAGCACCAAATCTGTCAAACTAACTGATTTATAGGCAGTTTATATTTTCTTAGGCCACTTGGCTATGGTGACCGCCTTGGATTGGGTTGGAATCTAACCCTGGATTTACACTACATGCGGCTCCACTCCGCTGCGCTGCGGTGCGCAGTTCGCAGCTGTTCGTTTGTGCCCCATTTTATACAGCATCCGCTCCACTCTGCTCCGGTGCGACACACAGAGGAGGGAGCATGTGCAGGAAGGAGATTGCATGATAAATTCAGTGATAAATTTGGAAGTCAGAGCAAAAAATAATTAATTCTGTGAAAGACAAACACCAAACACAGCTGAAACCATTGAAATAGAGGCTTTTGATATATATGGTTGAAACTGTCTCGCTGTCCTGCTTTTGAAACTTCTGATTTCAAAATAAAATCCACGTGTATCGTGTGTGTACACATATGCTTCATGCTACATGTTTCCATCTGCTTCCCAGACAGAACGATACATTCTGGCAGCATTTGTGTAGAAATATATCCATTTATTTATTAATATAGCTGGGACTTCGACATTATTCAAACAAATTATTCTGCCTAATAGTGTCTTATTTTGTAAATACGGATGTTGTGCTCGTTCTTCTTCCTGCTGGTGCAACGTAATCTTTAAAAATTGACTCGGGCGCATCTCCAGTGTCTGGCAAAAATGGGATCGGATTTAATTTTGACAGATCGCCGTCCGCTCACCGCCGCCCTGCGCAGCCGGTGTAAACACTCTCATTGATTATAATGGGTGCATATTTGCTGCAGAGGTCGGACCGGAGCGGAGCGGAGCCAGAACACATGTAGTGTAAATTAGGGGTAAGTATAATAAACCAGTTGAGGAGGTTTACTAAAATAATACTTTTTGAACATTTCAAGGCTGTTTACTAGTCCATGAGATAATTTACTAACAGAGTTGGTTCTAATAGTGATTGGTAAAGATTTAACTAAAACTTTATAGAATCAGTAAATGCAAAAAATTTAAGCTAGGGTTCATTCTTAGTTCTTACACCAAATTTTGGATCAATAACTGTAAAATGGACTGAGTTACAGACATAGGTCATGAATTCTTTAAGTAATTACCCCAATACCAAGCCTCACTGGTGTTTGTAATATTTATTTACATATATAATGTATATTTGATGTGATTATTTGATGTCTACATGATACAAAATTATTAGAGTTGGATGTAAAGACATCTTTCTACATGCCTCTCTTCAGCACTGCACTGCTTTTATCATCATTCTTTTCCAAACCTGGGGCACAATCATGTGTCCAACTTAAATGCAACTACAATACTAAAAGGAACATGCAGTCTACTTTGCTTCTGTTAATATAACTTTTATCTTCTAAAACATGCAAATAGATTTCTGGAATGTACTCTAAAGCCTCAAAGAACAAAGAGCAAATGACAGGGAAAAAAGTATTACAGCCAAGAACTTGTAAATTTGATTCTTATACTCTAATCAGAAAATGTGCTGAGCAAATTAAAGTGGAGGTATTTTCAGTTTTTGTCCCTCTCTTCAGACAAACTGTTTTGGGGGATGGAACTCTGCGAATCACCAACATCTCTAAGTCTGATGAGGGCAGGTACACGTGTGTGGCAAGAAACCATTTTGGAGCATCCAGCAGTACAGGAACACTGATGGTAAAAGGTATTTTCAAAGGTTTTTACACAGATTTTTCCCATCTACTTAGCAAATGCCTCAAACTTTTATTATTGAAGCGGGAAAAGGTCTACATCAAAAGACAAGACCTAAAATTTCTTTAAGCAATGCACTGTATATTGCTTGCCTCTTTTCGTGGGGGTGTTTTGTACTATCTTGCGATATGCGCTCTTTTATGATTTGCAAGTGCTTGAAGTATGTGTAGTGAATAGCTGTCAGCTTCAACTACACCCAATTCTAGTTCAGTATCTGTATAATTCACTAAGAGACCCATTTTAGTGTAGGTGGTTGATTATGGCTGTGTCCAAATTCAGAGGCTGGGTCCTCCAAAGGACTAATTCGTCAGCTGCTTATGTAACAACGCCAAGCCGGAGGCTTCCAAATCCGAAGACTCCTCTGATGCAGCCGACAAATGCATCCTTCCTTTGCCCCGATTTGAAGGACGGGTCAGATGGATCCTTCTCTGTCCACCATATCCCATAATGCARTGCGGGCCAACCAGAGATTKTTTTCTGCTCGTAATGGCGGACGAAACGAGAGAAAGGAATATGTTTTAAATAAAAATCTGTCAGTAGAAAAAACAAAAGTTTCAAGAGGTTATGTTGTTAATATATATGTCATTTGTATAGACATGTTTTTAAATATTATTTTTGTCAGAAATAAAACGAGCGAAATAACCATGCACCTATGGCGGGCCCATTAGTTCTTCAAAAATTGCCTTTAAGTTAATGTTGTTGTTTTGTGATATTAATAATGATAATATGTTGATATTTTTCTACTTTCAATCTAATTTTTCATCTGTTTAGTGTTGTTATGTTTGCTAGGCGACAGGACGTACATTGAGGTAAAGACGGGAGATCTTCCAAATTCACAATCACTTTTTTTCCGGTCTTCGCGGTCTACCAAGGACTTGGACCACCTCAACCGGTACGACTTCGTACGACCCAGCCTCTGAATTTGGACGCAGCCAAAATGTCCATCTTGAATTGGATAACATCAAAATCATTCAATTACTTTCTGAGAGTTTTTTTTGAAAATGTTTCCAGTTCTTCATAAGATATTATGCCAACAAACAGGATGAATAATTATTGCCAAAGTTTCAAGTAAAAATGTAGAGCAGTGTGTTGTGCTCAAAATGTATGTTGGGAACAGCACATGTAGTTTATAACACACTTAGCTTAAAATCATTATTATGATCAGCCATTAGTAGTAGTTAATAGTTATTAGTGAGGTTTTAAACACAGATCTTGTTGTAGGGTGGAACAAACCACTTCAATAACTATATAAATATATATTTTAAAAAAGGTTCCTGATGCTTTTGTAAGATTTATCATTTAAAAGAAGATAATTATATAGATGGAGTCTTTTCATTTTTTTAGTTGACTTTGTGAAAGCAGTGCATTAAATTATTCATTGCAGATTAATAAGAGGCAATTGCTCCCTAAGTGAAGTTATTTAAGGTCACTTAATTACTCTGATGGACCAGAATCTGTCTCATTATTCGGGCCAAATTAAACTTTATTACCTTCTTCATTCAGGCAGATTTTATAGAGTAACAGTTTCACACAAAATAACAAATAACCTTCAATTTATTCCTGTTCTGCTGCAGAGCCCACCAGGATCATTGTTCCACCTTTGACTTCAGATGCAACTGTGGGACAGAGTCTTGTGTTACCCTGTGAAGTGTCCAGTGATTCATCCCTAAACCCCATCTTCAAGTGGTTTTTCAATGGCAAAGCCATAGACTTCAGCAAGCAGGAGCACTACGAGATGATTGGAGGGGTATGTCTTTGTGTCAGGGCATTTCTAACAATTGTTTATTGAAAGGAATAATGTGCATAGATTGTCAATTTGAAGTGCTACAGGTACATTTTATTACAAGCTTTTGACAATGGATGCAGTATTATATGCAGTATAATACACTCAGCTCATATTACGTTTTCTTTATAGGTGATGTTTGCTTTTTTCATGTCAAGCTCAGATCCTCTACCAGAGGTCTAGGAACTTGAGGGTTTTGCACTGCACTCTTTTGAACGTTTATCTGGTATTGTTCTTTGGATCTACAGGAGTCACTTTGCCAGTTTGTAGGTAACAGCGTTGAGTGCTCTGATGACGACTGACACTACTTAGGGCTGGACTTACCAAACATRCCTTATTTCTCTTTCAGCCCTCAAAATATCTTGTACTTATTTTGTTCATTTGTCATTTTCCAATATACTTCTCCAATATTGCACACATTGTGTGAAAGTTGGCAATGGTAGACCCACACAATCGACTACATTCACAAATCAGATTTCACATGCTGAAAATTCTGTCTATCCAGGAGTGTGGTGGGTATAGGGAGGTTTGGGAGGATTCAGGTCAGTTCCAGCCAGAACCAGTTGTTACGTTGTTTTATTTGACCCCATAAAACGCTGCTGCATGCAGGCGCAGCTGCCTTCACAGCAGCCCTCGCGGCCGCAACTAGTGAAAGAATCAAACGTCCTATGCGACATCTCAGGGAGCGGTCCCTCCCAAACTGAAAAAGATGATCTGAAAAAAGAAAATGTGTTAAAAAGAAAGGAGAAAAAGATTGACAGAGCAGAGGAATTAATGGGAGGAAAATGTTTGTGCAAGATGCAGCCAAATGCACTAAATGAACTGATATTTTCTGTGATGGAGGGGCCGAGATCAGCATGACTAAAGTCAGCCAGGCCAGTGATGACACAGATCCAGCAGTATGAATACAGGTTAGTGGCTCTGTCTACATGCTCTATCATCCCAGACTTGGTTTGTGTGTGTGTGTGTGTGTGTGTGTGTGTGTGTGTGTGTGTGTGTGTGTGTGTGTGTGTGTGTGTGT